AACCGGGGCCCTCTGGCATTCCAAGCCAGTTCTTAACCATCGCGCCACTCGGCCGGCCCGGAAGGCAACTACTTTTGTGATGAAACTCAAGATAATGGCCCAAGTTAGGCTAATGTAAGTGTTCTGAGCACGCTTAAGGTAGGCCTGGCTAACCTGTGATATTTGGTAGGTTAGGTGTATTAAATGCATTTTCAACTTAAGATATTTTCAACTTGGGGTAGGTTTATAAGGATGTAACCCCTTGTAAGTCGAGGAGCATCTGTATAGTTGTCATTTTGTGTATTTTCTTGCAGATTGTTAATTAAACAAGTACGACATTTGAGATCAGAATATATAGGACATCGAAACCAAATAAAAAAGTAAGTAACTTCTAGAGCTGAAAGTTGCCTTACATATTAGTTTAGCTTCTGCATTTTGCAGGTAAGGAAATGGAGAGTCCCAGCAACATTATAAATAATATATCAATAGTTAGATGATAAGTATAGAATATAATTCTGATTCCTAGTCTAGTTCTTCTAATAAATTATTGTTTTGAGCTAGAATTTTATTTTATTTTATTTATTCTTTTAAAGATTTTATTGGGGAATTGGGGGAGGGGAACAGTGCTGGAGAATTGGGGGAAGGGGAACAGACAAGTTGCTGTCATTTTGTTCTTCAATCTAGTTGTGGAGGACGTTGCTTCACTGGTCCATGTAGGTATTATTGTTGCGCTCTTCCCGGGTGAGGCAGATTGGTCGCTGGCCTCTGGACGGCCGCTCATGGCGGCTCTTGGCAGCTCACACCGGCTGGCAGCCACACACAGTAGCTTATGGCAGCCCACTGCAGCAGGGTCTGCAGCCTAAATCGCTGGTGACTCACCGCAGCCCAGCTGCAGGTCGAGCTGTTGTTCACCATCTTAGCTGTAGAGGGTAGTGTCACTGGCCCCCATGTGGGATCCGAACTGGGGCCCTGCTTCTCAGAGCTGGCGTCCTGAGCCAGCTCTTAACCAATGCGCCACTCGGCCAGCCCTATTTTTGTTTTTTAATTGGAATGGTTGTTAGAGGGTGGGTTTGCAGATCAACTAGCTTTTTGGATGGTAAATGACTATGTGATTTTTATTTTTTAAATGATTAATGAGATTATTTAATTTTTAACTAGAATGGAACCTTATGATGACCAAAGTAATATACAAGAGAAAGTTCAAAAGGTGAGACAACTTTTGAAGGGAGAAATGTCATCTTACTTTTATAATATGCAATGTTTGCTCTTTGATTACTTAATTGGACAGTAATTTCTTTTTGTAGCACTGTTCCTTTTTTTAAAAAACTCATTATAAGTGATATATGTAAAGGCATCAATAGGGTACCTCTAAAATGTTTGAATATGATGGAAAAATTAGCTTATAATATATGACTAAATACATACAAAGGCAGTTTTAAATATGGTTAATTTAAAGTCTTTCATGCCAGCAAGAAAAGTTCAGCTTGATTGTAACTTAATAGTATTAATTTATGTAAATAAAATACATTAACTGAAGGGAGGCGGTAAGTATGGAAGAAAAATAAGAAGTTACTGGAGTCTGGCTTGGTAGTAGAGAGGAATCTGGCTGACATAAATGGTCTGAGGCTTTGATGTGGGATTAGGAGTATTTTCTTAGGCCTTCTTTGTGTTTAGATGACATCTCAGGCTCTTTGTTCTGATTCTGTGATCACCAAGCCGGTCTGGGTATTAATATGGCTTCCCAGGCACTTTGCCACTGGAAGAGGTGAGTGCTATCCTCAGGAAATAACTGTTCATTCATTCAGTGAATATTTAATAATCACCTGCCATGTGCTAGGTATTTTTCTAGGTATTAGAGCCACAGCAGTGAAGAAACATGGCAAAATCACAGAGCTTCCAGTTTAGTGAATGTGAATATGCCTATTAATAAATGCAGTAAATTTGATTGTAAATTTAATCGGTTGGTATGAAACCTATTAAAGTTTTCATAGCAATCTCTCCTGAGTTTGGTTAGTGTTGTTCAGTTTCAACTTTGAGCCATTGGCAACGTAAAATTTCTAGACTTGAAAATTATGAGAACCAGATCCTGGATCTTTATAAGGTCACTAAAAAATGCTATCCTGTGAGCCCTCTAGACTGTCTGCCAGTGAATCTTCCTTTGGGAACAACTTTACCTTGCACCATGGGAAGACAGACACCAACATGGGTATTATTATCATATTTCCCCACCTCCCTCGCACTTTTGTAAATTCTGCTGAGGCATAACATTCAAAAAAGTGCAAAAATCATAAATCTATATATACCTAGACAAAATTTCAAAGTGACACATTCCTGTAACCAGCGGTCCAGTGTAAGGAACAGAATGTCACCAGCATCTCTGAAGCCTTGAACCTCCTTTCATTCACAAGCATTTCCATCAGAGTAAACAGTATCCTCACTTCCACACTAAAGATGAGTTTTGCCTGCTCTTGAACTATTTATATAAATTGGAATATCTAGAATATATTCTTTTGTGTTTGACTTTTTTCACTCATGCTGTTTTATCCATGCTGTTGTGTGTATAGTTGTGTTCCTTCTCATTGCTGTGTAGCATTCTATTCTATGAATATAGTGCAATATTCTTTTTACTCTAGGCAGACCTTTGGGTTGGCTACAGTTTTTGGTGCTTTTAAAGAAGCATGGATTTTCACATTTTAATTTTTTAAAATTTGAATGACTCTTAAAACTCATGTGTAGTGTTATTTTTTCTCCCTGAAAAAATCACTAGATTGCTGGCATGTCAGAATACAGGAAATACTAATTGCATCTTGGTGTAGTATAAGGTTTCTTATATTTGTTTTGAAAATCATAGTGGGCTAGATTCTCCGGAGAAATTCTTTAGCTTCAAAGCTCCTTTGAAAGTACTGTCAGTGCTTTTAGACTATTAAAATGCCGAGTTTATTTTCTCACCAGAAGCCATTCCAGGAATACTTCATTTATTCTTGGGAGTGAGCATATAGTTGTTTTACATTTCTTTATGTACAGATTATGTATAGACTTTAATATTTTGTTTGTCTCTGTTTTCAAAGGTTCGGTCTTTGTGGGCTTCAGTGAATGAAACTCTCACGTTTTTGGAAAATGAGAGAGAAGTTGTTAGTTCAGTCCTTAGTCTTGTTAACGGATATACTTTAGATGGAACTAATGTTACTATCAATGTTCCAGGGCTGTTACTCGACAAAATTGAGAAACAAATATGTCAGGTAAGCATTTGATATTAAGGAAACTTTTGAGAAAACTCTCTTCAGTAATTATATATTATATATTGTTTTTCTTACAAGGTTTTTCTACTGTTTTCAGAATTTAGTTTTGTGAGTATATCTAGTAAAACTTTCATAAAGAGAGGGGCACTGTTAAGGGTGTATATATTTATATCCATCAACTTTTAATAATTGTTTGTACCTCGTATGGTATTACATATATAGTTTAGAGAGTAGAAGTTACTTAGAAAGATATATGGTACTTAGTTCTTTATAAATTCTCAAGTAAAGCAATAATGACTTCCCTATTGCTAAACGTCTTTGTAAAAAGACTCTATCCTCTCTGGTTTCTCTTTCATCTTGATGCTGTTACATAGTTTAAAGTCTTTTCTTCCTTTCTTCTTTCTTTCTTCAGTGTGTCTGCTCTTCTGTGGTTTTTCAGACTGCTGCTCTCAGTTTTTCCACTGGTTCATTTTCTGTGTCTGACTTTTAAATGAAAGTTCCCATCGTTCCTTTAATACCCCCTTTGCTTTCCCACATTACAAATTCATTTGTATTTTCTTACCCAATTTCATGGCTTTATTAGCCTCCTATACAATAATATTCTCAAATTGGTATTTCCAGTCTCCCTTCTTCAACCCAGACTACATCAAATTATTTTCATTTGCTTATGGGATGTTTCCTTATAGCCTATCCTTTTTTTCTTAGTAAACTTATCATTTATTAAGCATCTACTATAAGCCAGGTATTGATTATAGTATAGGAGATACAAAGGTAAAATATTGTTGTGACCCTGAAGAGCTTTCACTTCAATAGGTAACATGACAGGCACTTCAGATTCAGAGTACATAAAAATCAGGATCTGTAAACTCAGATTCCTGTAGGCACTAGGGAGTAATGTATATAAATGAAGTACACTAATAGTGTGGAACAATAGGGATAAAGTAGAAAGTGATTGGGGTCTTTGGAAAAATAGTAATTTTTATGTGAAATTTATGATTGTGAAAATATTGGCAACTAATTCAAATGATTTTAAAACACTGGAACTGTGCAGGCCATATAAACATGTTTAAGATTAGATTCAGCCTTTGGGGGCAAACAATTTTGCAACTGTTGTTAAAACATGAATTCATAATCTTTCTCTAAGCCTACTCTTTCTCCTCAATCTTTATTTTGCTTTTCATTTATTTACATTTCTTTTATTCTAGTTTTCAACTTTTTGCATACTATAAAAATGTAGCATAGCATGTTAATTCTTCCCCAATAGTTTTCTTTCGACCAGTTATTTACATAGTTTTATTTTGGGGTAGACATTTGACTTTTTTCACTCTTCTTTTAGGTAACCTTTTTATATAATATTAAAAAACCACAAATATACTTATGTAGCAGTTTTATTATGTTAAAAACCTATAGTTCACCAGTTTTTTTTTCTGAATCCTTAGTTGCACATAGGAAATGTTTATGAGGCTGGAAAATTGAACCTGTTAACAGTTATTCAGTTATTAAATGAAGCCTTGAAAGTAATGAAATATGAACATTGTCAGGCTGACCAAGCAAGACTGACAATAGACCTTCGCTTCCTTGAAAAAGAGGCCAAATTTCAGGGAGAAAGATTATCGGATCTGATGCATATGAGGTACCTGAGTAAGATGCTGTTATTTGATTGGGGGGAGGAGTAGGATGGTTTTGATAATTTCTCAGCACAACTCTTGTGTAGTTAACAACTCTTCAGCTTTGGCAAACAAGTGTGAACATTTTACTAGTACTCAAAAATCTTATGTCATCAACTCCCAGAGAGACACATGAATTATAAAGAAAAATTAAGGTAGTTTTCTTTTTGTTTGGAATATATTATTTGCCATTAGTGTAATTATTTATGAAATAATTTAAGCTTTTCTGTAGCTTTTCTTTTGTGGGGTCTACTATTAAAACTAGGACTCAGAAAAGTTTTTTAGTTGAGCAGAGTGACTGGGAGGGATGGGCTGCCTTTAGGAATGCATAGAGAGTGGGAGTAAAATTTCTGCTTGAGTTTAAAACCAGGAAAAAAACTATTTTAAAGATAAATGGAGAAATAGATGTATGATTGCTTTCTCTTAAAAGATAAAAAGGTATTTTAAGTTCTGAGTGTTCATTGTGAGAGTTTATTCAATTTATATGTACTGTGTTGGTTGAACTTTCAGTTATATTTCTTTTTATACAAATGATTCTTAAATTTTATTCAGTATATATTCATGTTTTGAATAAAGTTATCTTTATGCTATTATAGGCATAAATTAAAAGAAGATATTACAACTGTAAGACATTCAATTGTTGAGAAACAAGGAGAATGGCATAAAAAGTGGCAAGAATTTCTTGGTCTGTCTCCTTTCAGTCTAATTCAAGGTTGGACTCCAGTAAGTAATGTTGACTTGCCTTTCAGAGAGTAGTTTAATGTAGGCAATCTCTTGATTTATCACGTTATCAATGACCTACAAATGCTATGTGTGTGTATGTTTGTCATCCTTTCACCTGAGCCTAAAGTTCAAATGTTTGGTTTCTGTAATTCTTCTACACATATTAAAATATCCGTCAAACTACTGTTACGATTTGTAGTTATTTCTTTTAGATATAGAGTATTGTATTAAAAAGAAAATGAGATATTCCTTTTGATGTTTGGTACTATTACATATGAGGCACAGTTGGAGGCCAAAGTAGTTTCCTCGTTGCTAATATGGTACTCCATGTTTTAAAAATAATTATAGGATGATTTATATGCGTAGTGATTCTGTCTTTGTTAGAGGGGAAAATCACCCATTCAGAGATATACTTAGTATTGTTATTGTTGGTAGTGCGTAAAATGTGTATGTTTCAAAATTATGCACTCTGTGTTTTAAGGTGGATCTTTTGCCACCTATGTCTCCCCTTTCGTTTGATCCTGCCTCAGAAGAAGCATATTCAAGAAGTATTCTTTTGCAGTATCCTGCTTCACTTCCAGGTTGGTTATGTTTTTCTCTTTTAAACTTCCCTCATCAATATTCCTCACTATGATAATTGTTTCTTTATATTCTTGTTTTTTAACCCCCAATTATTTTTTAATGTGGTGAAATGCACATCGTTTCACTCATTGCAAAGTATACAACTCACTGGCATTTAGTAAGTTCACAGAGTTGAGCAACCATTATCACTATCTAGTTCCAGAGTATTTTCATTACCTCAAAAGGAAACACTGTACCCATTCCGTACCCATTAAAAGTCACTCCCCTTTTCCACCTCCCCCAGTCTCTGACAGCCAGTAATGTACTTCATGTCACTATGGATTTGACTATTCTGGATGTTTCGTGTAAATGGAGTCATATTCTATGATGAGGCTTTTTGTGTCTGGCTTCTTCCGTTTCACTTGTACAGTTTTTTACTTTGCACAGTGTTTTCAAGGTTCATCCAAGGTGTAACATGTATCATTACTTTTTATGAATATGTTCTAGTGTATGGCTGAGCCATATTTTGTTTCTCTATTTGTCCTTTGATGGATGTTTGGGTTGTTTCCACTATTACTAGTAATAGTGCTATACACATACGTTTACAAGTTTTTGTGTAGAAACCCACAATTTTTTTAACATGAAAGAATAGTACAGTTATTACCTGAATACTCACATACTACCGGTTTCAACAATTAACATTTGCTGTATTTTTTTTTTTTAGCTGAGCCATCCTGCCACCTGTTGGCAGCTCAGCTCTGGCCGGGAATCGAACTCCTGTTGCTCAGAGCTCGCACTCTTTTTTTTTTTTTTTTAAAGATTTTTATTGGGTAATTGGGGGGATGGGAACAGTGCTGGGGAATTAGGGGAAGGGGAACAGACAAGTTGCTGTCGTTTTGTTCTTCAGTCTAGTTGTGGAGGACGCTGCTTCACTGGCCCAAGTTGGCACCATCATTGCGCTCTTCGCGGGCGAGGCAGATCAGTCGCCGGCTTCTGGACGGCCGTTCACTGCGGCTGCTGGCCGCTCACGCTGGCTGCTGGCTACATACGGTAGCCCCTGGCAACCCACTGCCACAGGGACTGCAGCCTATGCCGTCGCCAGCAACTCATGGCAGCCCAGCTCCAGTTTGAGCTGTTGTTCAGCATCTTAGCTGTAGAGGGCAGTGTCACTGGCCCTCATATGTGGGATCCGAACCGGGGCCCTCTGGCATCCCAAGCGAGTTCTTAACCATCACACCACTCGGCTGGCCCAGAGCTCACAGTCTTGAGTGAGCTCTTAACGAACTGAGCCACTTGGCCGGCCCTTGCTGTATTTCTTTTAATTGTATATGTTTGTATTTTTACTAAAATAAATTCTAGGCACTGTAATATTTCACTGTTTCAGCATGCATTCCCATAAAAATGACATTTTCCTATATAATTACCATATTGATATCACACCTAAAAAATTAACAATAATTCTGTCTTATTAAGCTTCAACTATCATACCAATATCATACCTAAAAATTAATTTCTCTACAATATCTAATATCCACTTCATATTCAATTTTCCCAATAGCCCCATACTGTGTACAAGAAATTGTTATTGGTTTCAGTAAATGTAAGATGAATAGGTGGAGGAATAAATGAATAAAAAAATGTATGACTTATAAAGCCAGTATAGAACAAGTAATAAGTTTAGGCAGGCCATGGCAGGACTTAGGAAGAAAAGGATGAATGAACACAGCCTGGATAGGTGATGAGTTTGGGAGTCAGGTATATGTGGGAAGGACAGTGGTTGGGAAAGATCATAGAACAGGAAAGGCTCAGAGCAGGTGCCAGCAGAAGAGTAGAGCATTTGACTGCATAGTTTGTTGAATGAAAAAGACCTTCAGTAGAGCATTACTTATGATGTAGAATTACTTTGATTGCTCTTGGCACTCGTATATGGTTGGCATTGTGTTCTCACTTCAGCTTGGAAAGGTCCTTTGCATTCTTGTCAGATCCCTGTGAAACCGTGAAATTGTCCTTATGTCCATTCAGATTTCTGTCTGCCTTGAAAATGGGGCATACTTGTGTCTGCTTAAGAAGTCCAGTTGGAAGTCACTTTTTAGAGGTGTTTGAACAGTTCTCTGGAGGTAACCTCTTTCCACACTGTATAATTTGTACCCTTGGGATTCCTTTTATTTCCCAAGGGTAGAGCCTTGGTCTGAGCTGAGGGGCAGCAACATTATTTTCTACTTTTTGTAGTAAAACAACTTTTTCCCTCCTGCATCTTACATGTTACGTCTTACTTAAAGTATTATAATTTTCTCTTAAATTGTTTTTTAAAATTATATTTCAGAATATAAAAAATGCAGAGAATAATATAAATACTTGCTTACTGAACACTTTTGACAAATCTTTGCGATATTTACTTTAGGTTTTTTATTTATTTATTTTTTTGTTAACTGATTTGTTTATTAAATTATTTTTTATGCTTTAGATTTTTTTAAAGTACATATGTAGTTAACCATTGGGTATTTGCCTTTCCGTGACCCCATTCTTCCTGCATTTGCTGAGGTAACCACTATCCTGAATCTTATGTCTATTTTGATATATGTTTATAAAAATTTTACTTTATATGTATGGGTCTAATAATACACAGTATTGTTCTGCTATTCTAAAGTTAATGAATAAAATGTCTCTTATCCCCCAAAATGTCCTTTGTAAATGTTTATTTTTGAACCAGGATCCAACTAGGGTTCACTCATAGCATTGGGTTGTTTTGTCCTCTTATTGACTTTTATTCTAGAATAATGCCTCTACCCCCCTCTTTTTTAATGACATTGATAGAAATTGTTTTTAACAATTGTGTGTTTAGATTTACCAGTGCATTTACTGATTTTTTTTTTTTTTTTGGTCAATATTACTTTTCTACTTTTTCCTTTTGAGGAGTATATCTGGAAGTGTATCCTTTACTTATTTTAGTGGTGGACCCTGAAGAGTAGTCTTTAGCCTTTGAGGGAAAACGTCTTTATTTTCCCTTAATCCTAAATGATAGTTTGACAAATATAGGATTCTAGATGGCACTTATTTTCCCTTAGGACTTTGCTATAATCTCATTGCTTTTTGCCTTCTATGTTTCTCAGACATTTGCTGTTGATCCATTTAACTGTTATTCATTTGTAGGTATGATAGATTGCTTTAAAAATTTTTATTTATTTTTGTATTATGCAGGTTCATTGAAGTGTGTCTTAATGTAGATTTGTCTTTATTTAGCCTCTTGGGACTTGTGCGCACTTATTTAATGTGAAGGCTCATATCTTTGTTCAGTCCTGGAAACTTAGTCACTAATATCTCTTCTAATATTGTCCCTCTCATTCTTTGGACCTTTTCATTTTGTAATTTCTGTTGTTGGGACTTCTAATTCTCTCCTTCATCTCTTAACTTCTCATTCATATTTATAACCTGCATTCTGGGTATTTTTCTTGGATCTCTCTTATGGCTCACTAATTATCTTTTAAGTTATATTTAATTTCCTTTGGATCTGTCCATTATTTAGTTTTCATGAATGTGCTTTTCATTTGCCTCTTTTTCAAAACTGCTTTTTCTTCATGGTGTCTTCTTTCATTATGGCTCCTATTGTTTCTTTTTTGCTGATCATTTAAAATGCACTGATTTTTATCTTTGTCAGTTTTTCTAATATCTCTATGTTTTATCTACTTCTGCTCCTGTATACTCTGCCTGCTAATTTTTATGGTGGTTTGGTTCCTCTTAAAATATTTGACTATGATCTCACCGTCAGTGAGTCTCCCCACCCCTGGAGGATTCACGTGGCTCTTAATTGTAGAAAGGTCTCTCTCTCTACACAGTGGCCGGGGGTCCCGGGTGTTTCCCTTGAGTGAGGCCAATTATCGTCTTTGGTTTGGGATTCCTACAACAAGTAGTCAGTATAAATTTGGATTTCACACCTTTTTAAAAAAATTTAATTTAATTTTATTATTAGTTTCAGGTGTACAAAACAATATAATGATTAGACATTTACATCCTCACAAAGTGATAACCCCTGCTACCCCTCTAACATTATACAGAGCTGTATGTTTCTTACATACCAGAACAAATGTGCATCAACTGTGCCTGCCACCATCAGATAGTATTTATAGTCGTGTATAATCATTTTAGTTTATGGTTGTCTAATAAGTTTGGAAGAGTTGTGTTTGTGCTCATTTTTGGAATGTTTTATAAATCTCAGTAATTCCATTATAATTACTAGCTGCAAAAGCACAGGGTATTGAAAATGTTATAAGGTGGCATACTATTATGAAGGTTTGAAAGGAAAACTTTGTATAGTATGCATTGCCTTCTTATATAGTAACACTTTGGACACATGTTTAAATAGTCTTTCAAAAGCTAACATGTTGAAAGAAGAGGAGCTCCTGGAATATCAAATCCTCTATAATCTAGCCATGGCTTTCCTCATCGGTTTTGTTTCCTACCATGTTTCCCCTAGATATACCCTCTGCTTCCGCGTATCAGATTTGTACCTTATTCTGTCAGTACTTTCTTGCCTCCTTCACATTCCCTAATCTGGACCAGATGCCTTTCTGCCTCCTTGCATTCTGTGCATACTTCTATCCTAATCCTATAGCAGTGTATGTAATTATCTACTCATCAAAAGACTTTTCTGCACTAACTCCTTGAAGGCAGGTCTCCATATTTTCTTTCTTCCTCTCATTGTTGGTACAGTAGAGACACAATTTTCAATATGTTGAAGAATAAGTACATAAGTTGACGGATATCATAGATGCTGGCTGAGCTGAAGTATGCGAAGAACTTGTAACTTCTTGGCTTTGCTGGTTTATTTGGTAATTGCGTGATTTGTGTACTTGAGCATGAAGCATGGCCATGTAATGTGGAGAAATATGGGCTGGCCTTTTTGGAAACTTAGTATGAGCTATCAATCTTTTTAGAAAAGCCTATTAATATTCTCTATCACTGTCCTGCCTGTCACTTTTCACTTAACAATTGTATCATTGTCTTTTCCTATTAGCATTCATATTATTCTGATTTTTCTGTTCTCTTTAGAAGTTGTAATATTTCAAGAGACCCCCAAATGTTAGAAGGTAAAAACATTATTAGAGAGTAATTAATTTTCCTATTCCTTTAGATACATCTAAGCAACATAGTCAGGAAAACGTTTGCAGAGGAGTCAGTGATGTACTAGGAGCTGAATATGATCCGGCCAACAGGTAAAACAAATTTGATTTTCATATTGAATTTTTTCACCTATATTAATTTTAGTTTCATCTTCAGCCAGTTTCCAAGCGTCTCTACTGTGGGGTAGTCCATAGTTTTCTTCTTTTAACCAGAGAGTATTTTTTCACTGCGAGTCTACATTTTCTGGAAGATTCAACATTTCTGATGCATGGGCATATTATTTTTCTTCTTTTTTATATCCAAATGCTGGGATTCTTGGGGATCATATTATTCTTGAAGAAAAAAACATATGGAAATTATCTAATGCAATTTTGGGAATTTTTGTGTTTGTGAACTTTTTTGAAACCGCTTGTAGCTAATGACTAATTCCAAGAGATCATCTACTCTGGTAGTCCTCAGTCTGTATTCTGTAGTGCCCTCTGGTTCTGTGAAGGAATCTAATTTAGCTTGTAGGCAGTCCAACCTTTCCCACTTTAACCTGAGCAGCTTGCTCGTTTTATCTGTGTTACATGTTGAGATTTTTATATGCTGCTTGATAAAAAGAGTTCCATGCTTTAAAAACAAGGGGGGGGGGTGGGCTTCTAATTAAATCAAATGCTAAAATTTAACGTATGGGAAAGCTGAACCTACTTAGTTTGTCGTAACTGCCTTCAGGAGTATTATTTTCTTTATTGCCTGTTTTCTCTGTTTTCCTATTTTGGCCCTTAAAACAGATATCAGATTATATAAGCAAAAATCTCTAAATGTGTGTAATCCATTTGGGGAATATATTTGTTTTTTATTGAAATTAAGCATTATTAAGTAGCAATCAAATAGAGTCATACTAAACAGATTTCTTTATTGTTTTTTTTTTCCTGATTACACTTTGCCCCAACTAGGTATCTTTCAGTCCAACTGCCCCATGTAAATGAGGCACAGGTTTGCGAACAAATTCTTAAGGCCAATTCTAAAGGAAAATTCTAAATTTTAAATGAATTGAGGTCTTCTATATTCTGTATACTCTTAATAAGTTGAAACACCATAACAAGGGTCAAACTTACAGAGTAGTCTCCTGCTTATCGGACGTGGAGTCAGCCATGTTCTGAAACTATTAAGTAGAAAATTCCAGAAATAAACAATTTATAAGTTTTAAATTGTGTGCCATTTTGAGTAGCATGATGAAATCTTGGCCTGTCCTGCTCTGTCCTGCCCAGAACGTGAATCATCCCTTCACACTGTATACCCTGCCCAGCGATTAGTAGCTGTTGTGGGTATCTGATTAACTGTCATGGTATCACAGTGCTTGCATTCAAGTGACTCTTATTTTACTTAATAATGGCTCCAAAGTGCAATAATAGTGATGTTGGCAATTTGGATATGCCAAAGAGACGCTGTAAAGTGTTTCCTTTAATTGGAAAGGTATGCATATAATATACCTGTATAAAAAACAGTATAAATATGGTCGTTTGGTAATGTCCATGGTTTCAGGCATCCACTGGGGGTCTTGGAACTTTCCTCCCGTGGATAAAGCGGGGACACTACTATATGTGAAATTGAGCTTTTGGTAGTTTTCCTCTGCAGTAATTTTCTGGTTTACAGGAGGTCAGGACTACTTGTGGAAGGATTCTATTTTTATTTTTAGCTCTGGATGTAATGTTGATTTTCTGAGTACCTAAAGAAATGTAATGAAGTCTTCTGTGAAGATCTGATATTGAAGAAATAGTAAAGTTATTGGACTTGTGTATTTTACCCCCTTATTACAATTGTTCTTAAAGTATGCTAGCAGGGAATAGTTGGTGCTTCTCAGTTATAATTATGTTTTTGGTTTGTCTTCCCATGACAGAGCAAATTGAATATTTTGATTAAAGGCTCTCACTGCACTAAAGATTTATGGAGTTAGTAGATTAGTTTATAAATCACATTATATTTATGAACTCTACTGAACCTCAAGATTCTTTCTTGAAGTAGAATTTTGTACTAAGATGTATGCGTACTATCAGAAGTATACAGACACAGCCCCTAAGAATTTAATTCAAGTGAATTCTCTTAATATGGGAAAAAGAAATTGTATTAAATATATTGATTTCCACATTTGTCCTCTCCCAGGCACCCGGGTCTTATAATTGTCTTTTGACAATTACCTTTAATTTACAGATTGGGATTTTTTTTTTTTTTTTAGCTGAGCCATCCTGCTACCTGTTGGCAGCTCAGCGGCTGCTCAGCTCGGGCTGGACTTGAACCTCTGTTGCTCAGAGCTCAAACTCTTGAGCGAGCTCTTAACCAACTGAGCCACTCGGCCGGCCCTCTACAGATTGAGATTTTGAAGGGAAGGATTTTGGTGATGAGGGATAAATGCTTAATGGGATATGAAAGATTTTTTTTTTTTTAAAGATTTTTATTGGGGAATTTGGGGGGATGGGAACAGTGCTGGAGAATTGGAACAGACAAGTTGCTGTCGTTTTTGTTCTTCAGTCTAGTTGTGGAGGACATTGCTTCACTGGCCCAAGTTGGCACCATCATTGCGCTCTTCCCGGGCAAGGCAGATCAGTCGCCGGCTTCTGGACAGCCGCTCACTGCGGCTGCTGGCCGCTCATGCTGGCTGCTGGCTACACACAGTAGCCCATGGCAACCCACTGCAGCAGGGGCTGCAGCCTCCACCGTTCGCCGGCGACTCACAGCTGCCCAGCTCCAGGTTGAGCTGTTGTTTAGCATCTTAGCTGTAGAGAGCAGTGTCACTGGCCCTCATATGTGGGATCGGAACCGGGGCCCTCTGTCGTCCCAAGCCAGTTCTCAACCATTGCGCCACTCGGCCGGCCTGATATGAAAGATTATTACTGCTTGATAGCAGAAGACAAGTGAAGAGCTGAGTTACTGGGATGTGGAAATAAATTTGTTGCTCCAAATTCTTTACTGTAAAAGGTATTTTGTAATAAAATACTTCATTAGTAATGTGTGATGTGGGTAGACTGTACTTAAGAAAATAATACCTTTTGTTTGCATGTAGTTCAGCTATTGTACTAAATATTTTATTTGTATTGGCATCATCTTATTATTCAATGTAGTTAACTGGGAAATTCATATGTGGGTATGATCAATACAACCATTCAATATAAAAAAATGGAAAGAATGTCATTTTTAGAGTAAGTGAGTTATTAGCCCTTTGACATGCAGTTGTCATTCACAGGTACTAAAATATAAGTACTGTTCTCCATAAATCTCATGGCTAGTTTTGGTAAAGTGAGGTGTTGGAGGCTTTGCCATACTTAAAACCAGGATTCAGTGATCGATGATGCCTTTGCTGTGCACTGCGGACACTACCTTTCTTTGCAATGGTTTCTGGAAAGGAGGGTTCCATGATGTTTCTAGGGGTGGTGATACGTTCTTTTTAGACTTTTAACCTCTATAGTTTCTCCTTTACTGCATTTCAAAGATAGGGCAGTCTGATTTTGCATGCCTATCAACGAAACATCCTTAGTCTTAGAAATTTAATTCCAATATTATATCTTTCTCTTTTTATAATTATATTTATTATTTCTGTTAATTGTAGATATGTTGTGACAACAGCAAATAAAATGAAAAATTTTTAGCTAAAGTTTCTAACAAATTTGTTGTCAGGTTATTCAAGTTTTTTTTTTTTTCCCCACATTTTTTTTAGGTGTTCTTTACAATCACAAATTTAATGGGTTGTTGGAAAAGTCATGACACATTTTTGCAATGAAAAACAGAAAAAATAAGTCATGACTTTTCCGACAACCCAATAGTTCTAGTCAAAGCATGAATATTGTCTTATATAAGACTTTATATAATCTTATATAGTATTATAAAATACAAAATTTTCTAAATATTAACATAGTATAAGTGCAGTTATTTTTTTTACTGTGTATGTATATTTACTTAACATATGACCAATTATCACTTAGAATGGCTTTTTAACATTTTATTTATTTTTACATTTGATTTTTCCTCAAAGTTTTTACTACTATAAAAAGTGTCACTTTTTTTCTTTCCTTAGGATCAATTCCTACAATGGGATCAACATTTTTTCTTTTGACCTGTTACAGGATTGACCTGTTACCTGTACTAGGATTTCATGGGCCTCAGTTTTGGTATGGCGAGTAGGTAGAGAGTAAAGACTGAGCCAGGGCTGCTTTCAAGTTGTTTTGGATTGAGATGTTAGTAGTGCTAATTGCATGTTGCCAATTCAGCAGTGAGAGAGAAGGCATAGAGTAGATTGCCATTTTTCTCTATGATGAGGCTCTGCAGGAATGAATCAAATGGAAAAATTTGGTGGCATCTATAGAACCTCATACTCAAGTGACATTTACTCATTGATGATCAAACTGTCAATCAGTTACAGATATGTATTGCACTACCAAGTACCTACCAGGCACTGTGTTAGCCTCTTGGAATAGCCTTTAGAAAGACATGGTCCTTGTCTTCAAGGAGCTCACCATCTCGTGATGGCACCTTAGCGACCTTGGTTCGTAGATTGCTGGCACTGTTTTGGAGGCCTTCTGATTCTTTTAATGTTATGTTTTTGCATAAATTAAGATAAAATTGCAGTAGATAATGAATCTTTTGCCTTTGATATCTAGATTTTATCCTATTGAGGTAAAGATGCCGCTTGAGTAATTTCAGTGATTTTTGAATTTTTTGGAAGGTAGATGATGGTTCCAAGAAGGGCATATTTGAAAAAGTTTTAAAACGCGTATTTGCTGTTTTATACAATATCTGCAGGCCTGTTACTTTTATACTTCTGGTTATGAATGGAAAGCAAAGCACTGACCTGGCTGATAGTGAAGGTGGTCTTTGGTAATCCTGCCTTTTATGATACCTAGGATAGGAAAGCTTTTGGCTAGGAGCAGACCCAATCCATGATTGAATTTGAAAGGTCTTTCATGATGAAGATAAATTGGTTCAAGTTATCATTGCTTTGAAGGCTTTAAAAATTCAATAACTTATTTTGTAATTATAGTGAAAAGATGCATAACGTATTTATGTTTATTTAAAGGGGCTAGAGAATCTAAGCAATTAAGGAATACTATATAGAATGCAGCAAACTGAAATTGAATAACCTTATGACTTTATTGTAATTGTAATGTATTTGCTATAGAGCAAAATATAGCATAAGAGATACTGATTTTGGACATTAAAAGGATCTTGAAAGAAAGTCTCTGCTACAATGAACTGTGATCTGAAGCCTGAGGACATTGTAATAATGTGGTTCTAATTAACTGAATTTGTTCTTACCCTACACTCAAGTTTTGAGTGTTCATCAAGTCATTTACTACCATGTAAAAAATGCTTTCAACTTAAAATATATAGCAGGTAAGACAAATATTCATAATTTGGGCGGCTGATACACAAATTGGGCTGAAATATAGCTCTAATTGTCACCATACCTCCCTAGAATAAACTGCCTTTTGATGACCGGGACGAATTGAGAGAAATCGTAACGGACAGATACGGGGCAGACAGTTTCTTCAGAATATTCAAAGTGAATGGGATTCTTTCCCACTTGTAACTTGGGTTTGTTATCTTTTTTCCTTTTAGTTCTGCTGCTTTCTCGTTGCAGCCAGTGTCATCATCAGTTGGAGACAGTGTTACACTATTTGAACAGGTATGTTTTAAAACAATTTTTAATTCTGATGATACTAACTTATGATGAAATATTATTTTTATTGATTTCCCAATTAAATTTCTATTTTCAAATTTCCCAGTATTTGCACATTATGTATCATTTCTAGTTACACATTTGCTATTGCTTCTAAATGGGAATACTGGAATTATTTAATTGTGCCAGTGAACATGTAATTTCACAATAATGTTAATAAACTTTTATAGGTTCATGATAACTCAAGAACCTCTCATGAAGATCAGGCACGATTATTAAGGTTTTAACATTATATGTCTGTCTTTTTCAGGACACAAAGAGGAGAACACCTAGACAGAAAAATGAAACAATTTCTAAGAAAACGCCAGAATTTGAAGTGGAATACTTTCCTTCATCAAATATTGCAAAGAATAAAGAGAGTAGTAGTACATTTGCAGGGTCTCTGCCAGTTAAAAAAAGTGATCCATTCCAAAAAGAGCAAGATCATCTGGCAGAAGAGGTAAGAAAAAGACTGTAACAAGTATACTGAAATATCTATTATTTTCTCTATAGTGTTGTGATTATAAGTGAAGTACAGTTAATTATTGATTTACTGTGGGTAATTTGGGAAAGGAGATCACAGATAATAAAATCATGGTTAAAGCAAAAAAGTAGAAATCGATTTTATATAAACTTTAGTTAATAACTATTATAGCAATGATTTAGAACTCATATTCCATCTTATAAATGTCCAAAAGTATAAAAATAATACATGTATGATATTTTTGGAATTAACCATTACATCATTTGTTGGATAAGTACACCCAGTGATTATACGCTATTAAAATACTCCGTGAATGTTGTCTGTTGCTTAGCTGAGTTTCCTCTTATTTTGAATATTAGAATAAAAACGCAATATCGTATTATCACTGAGCGAAGGTTTTTGTCCTTCTGCTTTCTAAATATTTCAGAAGTGATTAAGTGCATCATTGTTCATGATTTTGGTTTTCCTAACCAGCCCTGTTTCTTAATGCTATTCTACTTTTTATTGGCAAATGACCACATAATACTACCCATGCTCAGTAGTATTACAGAACTTAGTTTACACAAATTAAATGCTCAAGACACTCTCTAATGTTATTTTTATTACAGTTTCCCCACAACATCCCTTAGCATTGTTTGAATTTGGATAAGCAGCCAGAGAATAAATCAGCTATTTTATATTCCTGAGAGACTGAAAGAAAAACTTGGTTTAGTGCATATTGATTCAGGTATTAGAGTTCCCTCCTTTATCTCGATTCTGAACAAAGTAAATGAATATTGTCCAAATAAGAGAGCTGGATGTTAGTCATTTTCTTGTTTGTGACACAAGGAAAGGAAGTTGGTTCACTTTCATGGTCTCTAAATATTTTTTAATCTCTGATGTTCTATTATTACTCTTTGTTGTTTGATTTACTCTACACTAAAGAAAAAATGGTCAGTCTTTTTTTCTTTCCTTATCTGGAAGGAAAGTAACATTTTCTTGGTTAAAAGAGTTTATAGTAGCAGTGGAATGGGATGGAATGGACAAGGAGAGTCCTAAAATCTCATAAAGCTTTGAAAATAAAGTGAAATTAATCTTCCTTAATACTGTTATGACGACGAGTATGTAGTGTTAGAATTCTAAGAAGCCCTCTATTTTCATGGGGAGATTAAGTGTGAGTCATATGGATTATGGTTGTGGGAAGTTTATATTTTAGGGATTTTGGGGGGCAAGATTTTAATTTGCATGTTTTTTGTTTTTTTCTGGTTTTATTCAGTTAATATAGAGTGCCATTTTCATTTTGTATACTTTGTTTTCTCTGTTTTAGAATGTATCTGTCCCTTGTTCACTAATGTGTATCTGATAATGAGGTTTCTGGCAAAGAAGTATATTGTCTGAATGTTTTATAGATAGAAATGTTACTGTGCAAATGGATTATAATTGAGAAAGTTTTCTTTAAAACTAGCCAATTTAGCAGGTAGAGAGTTCTCCAGCTCAAAGATGTGGCTGACAGTAGTTTAGGTCACTGTGTAGTCAGAACTTCCTCTAAATCTTCCCTATTATCACGATTCTTACCTTTTTTCTCCTTTATAATGGGACATCCTTTAAGATAGGGAGGAAACGGTTTTGTGTTTGATTTCACATTATAGGATTGTGCCTAGACAGTGTGTAGGGAATGTCTGGGAGCTACATTCTCGAGTTTAATTTTGTGCCCTCTTTTATGGGAATGGCTGCTGACTGTGACGTGCTCTCTGTTATTATTAGGGCTTTTGTTGCTTTCTACCAATGGGCTTAATTTTTGCTTTACTGTCTCTTTTCTGTTTTAGGTTGCAAGGACAGTTTTATCTGATTCACTACAGCCCTTCATGGGAGAAGAAGTAAAATTAGAGGACCTGATTGATTCTCTAGTTTCTAATCCATTCCTAACAAGGAGCCAAATTCCCCGAACTCCAGAAAACTTGAGTAAGTTAATGCTTTCCATCACTTATTTCCTTGCTTAGATATTACTGCTATTAGAACCATGGTCTGACAAAACTCACTGTAAAACTCTTTTATATTACGAAGTTTAGTGGCAATGGCTCTTTGTTGGTTTTGATGTAAGGGGCTTTTATTCAAGTATTAAATGTGGGCATTCTTTCTTACATGAAAGTCCCCTTCAGCAGTATTATTTTGCCCTGATACTGTACAATTTTGCTTCTGTTGTTTTACTTGGCTTTTTCTTGGAAAATATTTTAGTTGATCACTTTTAAAAAACGCGTTGCATCCACATGTGGTCGGTGATCAACATTTATAGTGTATAGAGGCTGTGTTCTACCAGTCAGCAACCAGCAGCACCAGCCCCAAGCTGGGCTGAGATCCTTTCTACCTCTTCTAAGTCAGAATGCTTAGTGCTTTTTCCTTATAATGTATAGTTTGCGTAGACACAGTTCTGATATTGTCCTTATGCTGGCACATCATCTTGGTTAGTGGTTAAATTCAATTTCCATTTTGTTGCTAGAAATGACATATTTAAAGTTAGATGATTCGATTCACATTGAACTTAGCCACAGCCTGATGGTGGTCAGTAAACTCCAGCCTACCTGGTCTGCCCTGTGTGGTTTTTTTTTTTTTTTAGCTGAGCCATCCTGCTACCTGTTGGCAGCTAAGCGGCTGCTCAGCTCGGGCTGGACTCGAACTGCTGTTGCTCAGAGCTCAAACTCTTGAGCGAGCTCTTAACCAACTGAGCCACTCGGCCGGCCCCCCTGTGTGTTTTTGAATACAGTTGTATTGAACACAACCTCGTTCATTTGTCAGCATATTATTTATGGCTGCTTTCATGCTAATTGTCGCAGAGTTGAGTAGTTGTGACAGGCTGGATGGCCTGCAAAGTCTAAAATATTAATACTGTCTGGCCTTTTACAGAAAAAGTTAGCTGAACCCTGGCCTAAAAGTATCTTTTTAAAAATGAAATTTGCATATGCTGTGTGGAAGTATATGTACATTTCAGAACAGCTTTTGTTACTTGTGTGTGATCAGTTGGAGATGGAGTTCTTTGATGTTGTTGGGCTTTGGTGTATTGTGGAGCCTTGTCAGCCAGCCAGCCTATCTCTGGAACATATACTCAGTCAGGAGCTGTATCTTGAGCACTGGAAATGAAATGTTTAATTGCATACTGTGTTTGGGAATATTAGTAAATTGTGTTTTCTCCCCCCTTCATTTAATTTAGTAAGTGATATTAGGAGCTCATGGAGAAAAGCTATTGAAATGGAAGATAACAGAAGTACAGAAGCAATTCAGATGGATACTGAACATAGAGAAGTGTTGCCAGAATCCTTATCTGTGTTGCATAATCAAAGAGAATTTAGCATGGCCAGTTTTTTCTCAACAACCACTGAATCTGATTATAGCCATTCTCATTTGCCTGAACAGAAAGTTGTTTCAGATTGCCTCAAGTGTGTGCCTCAGACACATGTGATGACCAGTCACATAAGTGAACCAACAACACAAAATCAGTCAGATTTGTTGAATAAGAAAATAATCTGCAAGCAAGATTTGGAGTGTACTGCTTTACATAACAAGCTTTTAGAAACTAGCCAAATAGAGACGCTCTCCCCTGCTGTAAGCAGTAGGAGAGATGTGATAGGTAGTAGCAACGGTAAGGATATTAAAATATCAGACTCCTTGCAGACTTCTTACAAAGAACCTTCCATGCATAAAAGTATGTTATGGAACTCTTTTCAAATAACAAGTGGACTTAGTTCCAGCAGTTTTAAGGATATTGATTTTGGCATATTACATGAAACTCTTCCAGAAGAACTTGGTCACTTAAGTCTTAATAGCTCCAGTAGTACAGAGTCCAATTTTAAACTGGAACCAAATACTCCTATGCACAGTGGCATTTTTACAGAAGATGTGGGAGAAAGACAGACTACTCCAAAGTCAGACTTCAGGTTACAGGCTCTTTGCAGTAGATATGAGGCTCTGAAAAAATCTCTGTCCAAGAAAATGGAAGAAACATACCTCTCTAATTCTGAAACCCCTGAAGGACACAAACCAGAATTGAGCCCTACTCTACAAAACATGCAAACAGGTGATATGCTTAACTTGTTGGACACTGATGATTTGCCCATTGACTGTACAAAGCCATCTTTACGCATGTCCCTTGATGAAAGAAAACGGTCTCTTTCACCACTAATTAAGTTTTCTCCAGTGGAACAAAGATTGAGGACCCCAATACCATGTAGTGTTGGAGAACTTCTACCTAATTTAAAAGGTAAGATTAAATAGGTCTGTGTATGTTGACCTGCTGAAGTTTTATCTCAACTTCTCATAAAATTAGTACGCAGTGAATGCTATATGATCTCTGTTAACATGACAAAATAGGCTCCTGATACTTTCAATTAGGATGAGAAGAGTGAACGCATCATTTTGATAGGTACTTTGCAAAATCTCTAGTGTGTATGTAGTTTACAGTTGGTATGGGAAAGGGTTGGAAAACAAAACCAAAAACCCGAAACCTATTGCTTTTGTAATACAAACTACTGAAAGTAAATTTCATCAGAATCTTCTTGGCTAGTGGAGGATGGTTCTAAAAACATTGAGAAACACTATGTTAAATATCATTTTTGTAATAATGTAACATCTGTGATATGCTTTGAAAAATTTGGTGGGGGGTGGGGTGACAAGTTAGGTCAATGTATTAGTTTCCTTGGGCTGTTGTAACAAAGTACCACAAGCTGGGTGGCTTAAAACAACAAATTTATTGTCTCTGGAGACAATAAGTTCTGGAGGCTAGAAACCAGCATCAGGGTTTTGGCAGAACCGTTTCCTCTGACACCACCACAGGAAGATCCTTCTTGCCTCTTCTAGCTTCTGATAATCCCAGGTGTTCTTTGGCTTGGGGCAGCATTACTGTTCTCTGCCTCCATCTTCACATGGCGTTATCCCCTTGAGTGTCTATGCACCTTTTCATAAGGACACCAGTCATGTAGATGAAGGGCCCACTCTTCTACAGAGTGACCTCACTTTTACTGATTATATCTGCAATGACCCTATTTCCAGTGAGGCCACATTCTGAGGTCCTGGGGTTAAAACTTCAATGTGTCTTTTTTTGGGGGACACACTTCAACCCATTAACAGTTAATTTTAATAACTACTGAATTATTGAAACTGGATGATAGATACATTGGGTTAAGTGATAATTCTCTTCACTTCTGTATGTTTGAACATTTTCATGATAAAGAGTTAAAAAAACCCTGCTCTTAAAGCATGTTAGAACAGATACAGATTTGGTGATATTCATTACGTGTCATTCTGATTTGCCCATGATAATTAAACACTGGTATATTAAAAAGTATTCTAAGGGATGTATTCATATTCTCTGGAGAATATCTGGAGACTACCTCAGTGAGAATAATGGTAATTTTATCATAGTTAAGTATTTGTATGTGAACTTTCTACTTAAAGAAGACTGAAATTTATATTACTTGGAATCTGTCCTATTGGTTTTTATTTTTTGGTAATGTTTGCTTATGCTTTTCTCCTTTTTAAAATCAATTTTGCAGAAGAAGAAATCTTGAATAAGAGCCTTGATGCAAAAGAATCTCTGACTTGAAAAGATGAAGCAGTAGCCCAGTTAATTTGACTGTGATGCACTTCATTTGAAAACTGATTTATAATTTAAATACACATTGGAAGTGTAACTTTTTCAAGGTCTAAAAAGTCTTAATGCCTTTTAGCTTCCTCTAATGTTTTTAGGTAAGAAGAGCATGTTTGGATTTTCTGTTTTTATGGATATGGGGTTGAAAAGTGAAATATTTGGAAAGCAACATAAGTTATGTGTAGCCATTTTGATTTTCTTGACTAGTCTTGTAAGCATTAAATGGCAAAGTAGTAGTTTAATTTATTATGTTTTAATTTCAGTTAACATAAGGACGAGTAGTTTTTGATGTATTTTTATGAAGTGGTTAACATAATAGCCATTGAATACACTGATTTTTCATTTTAGGGGAATTACAATTTTTATTGTTTCTTAATGGAACATTCTGGTACTAACCAAAAAAAGTGAGAAAAATAGTGTCTTGAGATGTATAGTCAAGATGACAAGGTTTGGGAAAGCTCCAAATAGGCTTAATGATTCAAGTAGGTTGCTCCTGAAAAATGATGTTTGGTGGAATAAAGGGCATGTGATAATAAGTGAACACTGGGCGGAATGGATTCAGGAAGAAGGAAAAAGATGACTAGACACTTTTAAGGAACACTATCAAACTGTGAAATCCATTCAGTGGGTTGTGTAGCAGACTTATATTTAGTCTAATTTAGACTTTGAGACTTTAGCTTAACCCTAGTTTTATATTTTAACAGAAAAAATGTAAATTAAAAAGTTTATATGTTTGTTGTTTTTTTTTTTTGGGGGGGGCACTGTTTTAGAGGAAAGGTGCTTATTTTGATTATATTACTTTCCTCATAAACCATCAGTTCCCCACTGCCTACAGAATAGCCTCAAAATAACTTGAGAAAACTGAATTTTGGGTTAAATAACTTGTTCACAGTGTCACACAGCTAAGTTAGTGGTGAAACTAGGGTTTGACCCTATTTTCCTTCCTTAATAAACCACGAGACCCCTAGAAGTAACTAAAAGGCCAGGACAACAGACTATGGCTGCAGGAATGGGCCTCCTGCTTACCTACTAGACTGAGTGGGAGTCAGATGTGAGGCCTCTTGTACAGTAAGTATCCTGCCTCACTCAGTCATGGCCCCTGGCCAGGAAAAGGGCTTTAATGATGAGTACATGCCATGGCCCTCTGTGAACCAGGAGAAATGAGCTCACACTGGAAGGGTGATAGCACCTACAGTACCCCTCTGTCTAGTCCCAACTCTTAACCATCAAAACTTGTTCATTTGCCAAGAAACTGGCCAGGAGAAGAGAAAAGGGGAGAGTTCTGGAAGTGGTTCATCTTTCTTCATTCATTTTAGGCTGATTTTCTTTTGATTGTTCAGTCCCAGTTTTAAGGCCAGTCTTTTTTGTGACATCAGAAAAAAAAGCACATACTTGCAATAGAAAGGAAAGAGGAAAAGCTTTTCCTAAGGTGCTATATTCCTTTATTAGTTAATTCAACAAATAAGGGACTCTGCAGGTCAACTGGGAAACTATTCTCTAGTCTGCCTTAAGAAAACTCAGTATCTGTGAGTCCAAAATTAACATTTTTAGGGAGGAGGTAGGGCCATCACTAGCATCTACAAAGTATATCAGGGCCATTCCTAGCCACTTAATATATATAGTTTCATTTAAGTCCTTTTAACTGTTAAGAGAGTGGTTATTAATACCTATTTTACAGATGATACTGAAGCTAGGGAACCTAAATGACTTGTCTAAGTTGGAGTCAAGGAATCATCTGGGATACATCTTAATATAGGTGCCATAGGTCTAAAATGGGGATTAGGGATCTTTATTTTAAATATGCTTCCCTGGTAACTGAGACTCAATAAAAAGCTTAAGAACCACTGCTAGGGGATATTCACATTTAGTCCTGGGGTACCTTAAAGAAGCAGGTCCACTAGTGCATAAATACTAAAGAGATCATTAACTATCTGATGAAACGCAAGTTCACCAATAAGTGTGGGAGGCCCTTAATTACTGAGAACCCAAATATCAAAATATCTGTGGACACTGGATTTACAAAAACCACATCCTTCAGTGAGTTATGCCTGTGATAGGCTGGAAGTTTTAGGCAGTTTCCTGTCCTTTGCATGCCAGTAGTATAAACAAAAATATCTCAAATCTGTCACTTTCTCCTTGGCCATTTTATGACCTGTCTTTAGTCTTTCCTATCCAATATTGCCTGCATAGCTGCCTTTTTGACAGAACAAAGGTTCTGTCACTTCTTTGTTTAAAATGCCATTAATTTCATTGCCAATTCCAGAACAGAGTTCAAATATTGGGCTGTCAGAAAAGTCATGACACATTGTTTGCAACGAAAACCAGAAAAAATACGTCATGACTTTTCCGACAACCCAATATAAAGGATTTTAAGGCTCCCTACATATATTTCCTCTATTCTGCTTTCCACTATGATCTCCCATTTTTTACTGAAATGCTTTGGTGAGCATGGGTCTTTAGAAATCTTAATTCACAATGTTGAAGCTGGAATACTTTACATTTGTCTCCCAGATTATTACAATTATAGCTGTCCCTTAAAGCTAAGTAAGGCTCAGAATAATCCCACTTCAACGCTGAAGTCTTAATCTACCCTTTCCATGTCCATGGGCCTGTCCCTTCTCGGAAATCCATGATTTATCTTTTATTTAGTATTTTTCATTTATTTTATCATATTTTTCATGGTTGTATGTGCTCTCTAGTTATACCAATTATACACATACAGACAGACAGACAGACACACACACACACATACACACCCTACCTATGTAGATGTGTGTCTGGGGTGTGCCCACACATATTTCAACCAAATATTGAAATACTGGAATTGTTAGATGCTTCTGTGATGGAATTAGAGTAATGATAGAGGGCTACTTTAAAACTGTAAATGTACTTTTTCTCATTACATTCATAGATTACATAGAATGTACCTTGTTTTACTGACTATTTGTAAAATAAAGTGTAAACTGGCTTCTATGTTAACTTGAAACCAGATAATGCCAAAATGTCCTGGTTATTTTCAGTGTTTAAAGAGGACAAGCATGTAATGTTACTTAACATGAAAAGTGTTATCAAGTGGAATAAAGAATATTTGAGGTTAAAGAAAAACATTTGGAGGTAATTTAACTGAAAACAAAAATACAAGTATTTTGAAACCATTCTTTACCATGTGTTCCTTAACCATGATCTGTGGAGTCAATTTTATCTAAAGAAAAAACGAATTCTTGAGACCTTATAAAAGGAAACCTTATTTTTTCTACTCTGAGTATACTGAAGTTAAAGAAAATATGTTTAAGAACATTTTCCTCAATGTAAGGAAAGTTTTGTTCAAGTAAAATTTTCTTTTCACATTAATTGCAGATACATAGTTGCTCTTTCTTCTCATGCACTGTGAATGTCAAGTCTACATCCTAAAGTTAAATTATCTGTGAGTCGCTTTTGGGACTATTTGTAAATATGTTCTACATACTGGAGTCTTGAATAAACATTCAATATACCACCGATTCTGGAATTTTCTATATATCCAAAAGAACCATGCCCTGCATATTATAAAATGATCATATATAAAGTTATATCAGTAACTTGATCAACAAATTTGTATGCTTCAGTGATTCAGGTAAGTATTTTGTTACTCCATTTTAATTACTAGATTTACTAAATGTATTTTAAAAAGTACATCTATACTTCTTTTTTCATCTGGAGTTTTTATACTAACTTATTGCCAAAGGCCCCAATTAGACAAGTATAATAACTTACATCTGGTTAGCTTGTTCTTCATGCTTAGGGACCCTGCCATCCACAACTGCTGCTATTTTAAAGGGTTTAAAAAATATTAACTATAAAGCCTTGGAAATTTTAAAGTCCTGTCACTTATATTTAACGTCTATTTACAGAGCTAATGTCTCATTTGTAAAAAGAGATGAAAAGAGTTGATCAGGTTACGTGGCTCCAAAATAGATTGCATTTAAAACAATCTTTTAAGGCAGCTAGCTGGAAAGGGACATTTTAGGTCTGTTCTGATTTCACTGTATCACAGTGCCAATCCAAATTAGGAGTCTTAGAATCCTTCCCCCAAAGTAGGTAATCTAAGAATCTGATTCAATATTATCCAACTTCTAGATACAGATGGGAAAGTGATCTTGTGCAAAGTGAGTAAAACACAGAGAAGTCATTTAACTTCCTGGGCTTCAGTTTATATCTGTAAAATTAGGGGAATTATATCAAGTAATGTACACCTAAAAATACTAGTATTTTTATAATTAAGTTTTCTGTCGGAGTAAGTAGTGGGGTGTAATAGGAGAGGGGGGAGGACCTGTAATCATATTGCCTAGGTTCAGCTGTATGACCTTAATTTGGTCATACCAGTTTTCTCATCTGTTAAAAGTAATTTACATCATCAATTGTGAGGATTAAATAAGAAAACGCACACCAAGTATTTAAGAATACCTGGCATTTAGTAAGGGCTCAAATGTTTAACTAGGCTCCATGTCCAGTAATTTTAGGGTGGGGAAAAGAATGGCTCAGTAGGTAGTATTGATAGCTGACACACTACTGAGTCTGTGCCATTCTAAATGTTTCCATGTTTTAATTCAATCCTAACAATCCTATTTTGTAATGCTATTCTTTTCCATGTTTTACAAATGAGGAAACAAATTAAGTACTTTTCCCAGTTCACAGAGCTAGTAAGTGAAGAGACTAGAATACTAAGTCGGCTCTCAGCTCAAACGGTGTAGCTTCAAAACCAACCACTCTGCTACCGCTGCTATGAAACTGCTAAGGCTATGGGGGCTAAGATCACAAAATCAAATTGACTAAGCAACATTTGTGCGCAGTCAGGATCTTTTGATTTACATATTAACCACCTTCAAATTATTTCAAATAAGACCATATTTTAAATTGCTAACGGTAAATGTTTATTCATGATTGAAGCCAAGAAGACTTTATAAATGCATTTTAATACCTTGCTGATAAAATAGTAACATTCCATCTTTGCAATCTTGTAAGGAATACAGGAAGATATTAAAGGCTTTGATGTGTATATCTATTATAACCAGGTAATCAGAACACACACACACACACACACCACCACCTACTTTAGTGTTACACCATACCAACTTTTCAGAAAGGCCATCTTGAAGCTCTACTGGGTAACTGAGTAAATAGCGTCTAAGGTTTAAAGGCTGGGGAGTAGGGAAGAAAGAGATGGAAGTAGTAAGCACACATTTCAAAGCCCACTTTTAAGCACACGACATTATGAATACTAAAGAAAAATGCGAAAAAAAGAGGCAATTCAGCATTTTCAGAAAGAGCATTTGGCAATATTCAACGCATAAGGAGGCTGTGCTTGGGACCATCCACTCTCTCCAGCTTCTCAAAGTGTTTCCTGGCATTGCGAATGTTGATCAGCGTAGCTGCAGACGGGATCGACGGGTCGGACATAACAACCATCACGTACGTGTTTGATGTGAAGATGTCGATGAAAGCAGCGAAGTTAGAATTCCTAACTTCCATGCTCTGGAAAGAAGCGGCCAATTTACTGCAGCTCAGCTTGAACTGCTTAATGATGTTGCTGATCTTCTCAAATCGGTGGACATCACGCTGCTCTTTGCACTGGTAATGGGAAATGACCAAGAACGTGGCTCTCTCGAACAGCAGAACTTCATCAGCCTCAATAATTTGGGCAAAATTCCTTAGGTTCATCTCCAGCTGCTGAACATTGGGAATCAGCTGATAGACAATACTGGACCAGGCTTTGTAGAGCGTTTCATCCCAGATGGATGTTCGAAAACAAGCGCACTCCAGGGGGCGAGACAAACGCCTCAGGTCTTCCTCTCGCTCTTTAAAAATCAGGTCACGCTGATCCTCCTGAACCAGATCCATTTTGTGCACCAGGCAGAAGATTTTGGCATCAGGGGAATTCTGGAGGATGGCCTCCAGACACGACTGGTAATAGTGCATGTCCTTTTCCAGCTCGCGGCTCTCCACGTCAAACACGTAAATCAACACCTCGACGTTACGGAAGATGTTGTCTCGCTGGCTGGTGAAGTAATTCTCCATGAAGGTGTCCTGACCGCCACAGTCCCACAGGTTCAACACCAGGTTGCCCAGAAATCGGACGTGGGAGTGCTCGACATCAATGGTGGCACCCAGGCGCCGAGTGTCACGAGCAATATAATTTGCAAAGATAATCGACCTCATGCTGGTCTTTCCCGACCCGCTCTTCCCCATCAACAGCACCTTTTTCTTCATGGCTGTATTTGGCATCACCCGCCGGAGCCGCCGCGGACTGGGCCTGAGGGCGCGGCCTAACTGCAGCGCGGAGGGGGGAGGTGCCGGGCGCTGCGGGGGCTCCGCAGGCTGGGTCTCGCAGCTGTGCGGTCCGGGAAGCCGAGAGCGCGAGCTCGGGGCTTGAAAGGCCGCGGCTGGGTGAGCTCTTCTGCAGAGGAGAGCGCCCCGGGGTAGACGACTGCAACAGCTCGGCAAAACCGCTCGCCTTCCGGAGAGGTAAGTCGCTGCGTCCTCGCTGCCACCCACTTCCGGCGGCGCTCTCGCGAGACTCCCCGCGTTCGGCCGTCACTGCCTGACGAGCTTTAATAAACAGCTCTTTTGATGAAACCGAGCCGGGGCCTCCCGAACGAGAAAATGGAAGGGGAACCCAGGATTCTGTTGTTCTGTTCTCCTGTTTCAACTGGGTTTTCGGTTGCAAGGTGTACGTGTGTCGTGTGGTCGGTTGGGAGAATGCTGCCATCTCGCGGCCAACCCCCCCAACACATCACAACTGGCTTGAAGAGCGGGGTGCGCTTGGGTGGTTTTCGGCCAAGGCCGCAGACAGGTGAAGGGGGGGAAGGCCAACTTCTCAGCCAAGTTAGGTCTCCCCAGATGTCCTGGTTTACTGAGTATGAGGGCAGGGCAAATGAAAACTGTACAAATGAGGAAAGTGAGACTTTGAGAGGTTGGTTGAGTGAGGACTCAGTGCTACACAGCTCGATGGTAAATCCCTACTGGGCGATATCCAGATTCCCAGTTATTGCTTTTTCCACTTGGATGCTAGTTCCTTTTTCACACCTGCTTTCCTGGTAATCTCAGACATTAGAATTTGTAATCAGCATTCCAAAGCTCGAGGAAACAATAATATGGAACCCGTGCATTAGCTCAATCCTCCCAATGACAGTATGAATAAATAACCCGATTTTCAAGTGAATAAACTGAAACTTAGAGGGGTTAAGTAACTTTGCTAAGTTACACATCTCTTAAATGATGACATGCAATTTTATTCTAAAAATACAAATATAACTTTAAGGTGTATAATATGATTTGATAATACAGAGTGAAATAATAACTATGGTCAAGCTAATTAACATATCTCATTAATAGTTACCTTTTTTCCTGTGTAGTGAGAACATCTGAAATCCACTCTTAGAAAATTTCCAGTAGTCAATACGATATTAACTATAGTCATCATGCTGAGTTTAGATCTGTAGATTTCTCCATACAATGTAATTGCAACTTTGTACCTTTTGACCAATATCTCCCCATTTCCCCCACCTCTCTTTCCCTGGTTAACCACCATTCTACTTACTCTGTGCTGCTATGTACTCGATTTTTTAGATTCTACCGGTGAGATCATGCAGCTTTTTGCCTTCTGTTTGGTTTATTTCACAAATAATATTTAATTCATATGTATAAACAATTTTTTATGTAAAAAAATTGATTTTCTGTTTAAAACATAACACACCTTCAGTTTTATAAGCTACCAAGAATGTTCTCTAACACCATATTCTACAAGTAGATTTGACATACATTTTAGCTAAAATATATCAATAACAGAATTTTTGCTGTCCCATAGATAAGTTGAACATTTTTTATTTTTAGCATTCGATTTATTTAAATTATGATAGTATTTATATTGGATTATAGTGATGGTTTTTATTCAATTTTATTGAGATATAATTGACATATTTGTATTAGTTTTAGGTGTACAACAAAATGATTTGATTTATGTATGGTATAGCTAAATGATTACCACAGTAAGTATAACATCCATCACCTCACAGTTACAAATTTTTTCTTATGATAAGAATTTTTAAGATCTACTCTCTTAGCAAATTTCAAATTATACAATATTGTTAACTATAGTCACCACACTGTATATTACATCCTTAGAACTTATTTATCTTTTAAGTAGAAGTTTGCACCTTTTGACCATCTTCACCCTTTGACCATCTTCACTCTTTTGCTCACTCTCCAACCTCTGCCTCTGGCAATCACCAATCTGTTTTCTCTGTCTATGATTGGTTTTTTTCAGATTCAATACTCATATGTAAGTGAGATCGTACAGTATTTGTTTTTCTCTGTTTGACTTGTTTCACTTAGCACAATGCCTCAAGTTTCATGCATGTTGTCTCAAACGGTAGGATTTCCTTTTTTATGGCTGAGAAATGATCTATCAAATTTTTTTGTAATTATTAGTTTCAGGTGTACAAAACAATGTAATGGTTATACATTTCACTCCTCACAAAGTGATAACCCCTTCTCCCAATCTATTGCCCCTCTGGGGTACTTGTTGGCCATTTGTATGTCTTCATTGGAAAATGTCTCTTCAGTTTCTCTGACCATTTTCTAATCTGATTTTTTTCTCTGACGTCATATATATCTATTACAATTCCATAGACTCTGTTCCCTATACTATACTCCATATTCCTTGACTACATATATTAAATTATAGTTGACATACATACAATATTATTCAGCTTCAGTTTCAGATGTACAGTGCAGTGATCAAGCCTCTACACTGTCCATGAAGTGGTCTCCCTAAGAAGACATGTGCCCATCTGACACCCTACAAAATATTTACAACATTATTGATTATATTCCCTAAACTGTCTTATATCCCTGTGACGATATTATCAAATTTTCTTTATCCATTCATCCATTGATGGACATGGGTGGTTTCTATGTCTTGGCTATTGTAAATAATCCTGTGGTAAACATGGGGGTGCAGATACTTTTTTAAGATAGTGATTTCATTTCCTTTGGATATATACCCAGAAGTGGAATTGCTGGGTCATATGGCAATTCTATTTTTAGTTTTTTAAGGAAATGCTATGCTGTTTTCCATAGTGGCTGTACCAGTTTATATTCCTACCAACAGTGCACAAGGACGGCCTTTTCTCCACATCCTCACCAACACTTGTTATCTCTTATTTTTTTGGTGATAAGCATGCCAACAGGTGATATATCATTGCAGTTTTGATTTGCTTTTGCCTGATAATTAGTGATGTTGAGCATTTTTTGGGGTACTTGTTGGCCATTTGTATGTCTTCATTGGAAAAATGTCTCTTCAGTTTCTCTGACCATTTTCTAATCTGATTTTTTTCTGTTGAGTTGTATGAGTTCTTTATAAATTTTGGATTAACCTCTTATCAGATAAATAATTTGTAAATATTTGCTCTCATTCATAGGTTGCCTTTTCATTTTGGTGATGATTTCCTTTTCTGTGGGAAACTTTTTAGATTAATGTAGCTCCACTTGTTTATTTTTTATTTTGTACTTTTGGCGTCATAACCAAAAAAGCATTTCCAAGACGAATGTCAAGGAGCTTTTCCCCAATGCTTTCTTCTAGGAGTTTTATGGTTTCAGGCCTTATGTTCAAGTCTTTAATTTGTTTGAGTTGATTTTGTGTATAGTATAATGCAGAGGTTCAATTTCATTCTTTTCCATGTGGTTGTCCAGCTTTCCCAACATCATTTCTTGAAGAGACTATCCTTTCTCCATTGTGTAGTCTTGGCCCTTGTCGAAAATTAGTTGATTGTGTACACCTGGGTTTATTTATGGACTCTTAGTTCTGTCCCACATGTCCGTTTTTATGCCAGTACCATACTGTTATAATTGCTATAGCTTTGCAATATAATTTGAAATCAGGAAGTGTGAACCTTCAACTCTGTTCTTAAGATTGCTTTGGGGGAGGCCAGGTGGCTCAGTTGGTTAGAGCGCATGCTCTGAGCAACAGGGTTGCAGATTGGACTCCCACGGGATGGTGGGCTGTGTCCCTCTACTCCCTCCTCTCCCCCCACCACAACTAGATTGAAAATGGTGACTGGACTTGGAGCTGAACTGTGCCCTCCACAACTAAGATTGAAGAATAACAACTT